CAAGTTGTCGGCAACACATGTTGAATACGTGTCATGTCAAACCAAAGACAAATGCCTGACTCACCTTGTTCTAAATTTGCTGAAAACTCAAGCGTTTTGTTTTCGGCAACATGACAGCAAAAACACAGACAGGTGGCTATCAGGGTACGCTCGATAGCTAAAGTAAAACCCAACGTTGACAAACGCGCGTTACAAAACACCTTGTGTGAACCAGGTCTATGACAGTGAAAAAAATGTTAGAACTTAACGCGTCGTAAGTTAAATTTTGTACTAAGTTCTTAAATTTAACACATTACTGCCGAGACACGTACCAAGCTGAATCTTTTTGAGACCGAATCATTATATTAGTTTGTTAAGTTTTAGGTTTTTCTTCAAAGAGAAAGAAGGGCAAAATCTCTCTCTTGCTCATACGTGTAGAATACTAATGTAAATATTTTGATACAATCAAAATATTTACTTCTCAATCGTACCCTGTGTCACAAAACAAGGCTTAATCTATAAAAAGTTTTGTTAAATATCGGTTTACTAAATACTGAGTGATGACTCAAGCAAAGATCATACACGTTACATATATACGTTTATATTCTTAAAAGCTTTCAAATTTATACTCCGCAACACTACTATAAGACATTCATATCCATGTTTTCGCGGTATGTTGTATTCATATTCCAAGATGTTTTTCGGGTTTGAACCTCGTTAGCGTCAGTTTTATACCTGATACTATTAAATTGCTCTTCAAACTTTGATAAAGTCAGTTGAAATATTCACTAAACGTCGGTAAAAAATTGACACAAACGCGGTTCAAATCCGAATAACCCCTTTAAATGTTATTACTAAAAAATACTATACATATAACTGTATAAGTTCTTGATGTAAGAAAAAATTTCGCTTTATCGCACATAGTGTGTTATTGTTTACTTCAAAGGAAATCTTTTGACGAACTGTTGGTACTAATATTTTGAAAAATACGAAACTTGCATAAAAACTTACCGTTTATTAACCGCGACAAAGCTATAAGACATTAATGTTTCCAATTTTTTTATGATTTCTTAATAATGTATATTGTTTTCTTTGTTTTTTTACCTCGTAACATTCTTTGCGGAAGAGATTTGTCAGTGTTTAATGGTTTTTTGTTTTACTCTATATTTTTCTTCAACACACACACATACTTAAATTTTGTACACTATTACCTTGCTTTCCTCTTGAGTAAATTTCTCTGCTTAGTATCTGCCACCTGTTTTCTATGATGTTTCTGTCAGGAGATCTCACGGGCCACAGTAAAATATCTATTACTTTCATTCGACAATAAGCTTGTACATCTCTTGCAGTATACACGGCTGAGTTGTTTTGTTGGAAAATAAATTTTTGTTTAACTATGTTTTGAGCATGTTTCGACAATTACCTATCGACTATTTTTCTACTATTCAATGTTGTGCTTGTTGAATTTAACTCGATATATTTTTTCTGTCATAACATCTTATAACCGTCTAAATCGTTATATCACCATCACCTATTTGTCGTCTTTAAAGTGTGATTTTATCCTTTCTTAAATCATGAAAATAATAAATAGGTTAACTTATCAGGTTCATCTTAATTAAAACGCGTTTCATCAGAAGAATTTTTTTTTCCATTTTATACGTCAATGTTGCTTAACGAGCTCTAAACTCTATATTCTATGCTTCTTTATTTTGCGAATGGTTAGTGTAAGTTGTTTCATTATTTTACATTATGGTAAATTTTTGTATTAGTCTTTGCATCGTTCTTCATCTTGTTTTTACACCAGCTTCTGCTGCACTTTGTCTTGCTGTCAATGTAAAATTGAAAGTTTTTCTTGAAATAGTTCGTCTCTTTCGCGATGTAGATTTTACATAATCTCTTAAATTTGTCGTTGAATAAGTCTTACAGTTTTTAAATACTTATAGAATAAAAGTGTATATTATGAGATAGTCGTTTATATAATACGAGATAGCGAGTTCTTTCATGTAAATGGCTACAAATTCATAAATGCGTACTTTTAACACATTACTTACACAAAAACATCAAATTGTTTGGTAGTGTTGCTCACTGCCGAAAGAGACATGGTGTCTGCAAAAAGTTTCGCTTACGCGCAAGAAAAAAAAATAATCATTATTACTTTAAGATATGTATTTAACATTTTTATGTCATAGAATTTACAGTTATTTCATGTTTCTCAAGTGTATCCATGCATTACATAGGTGATTTATCATGAAGTTTTGTCACTTTATTGCATATTTTGTCGGTTCAAATTTAAACTTTTTATAATTTTATATTTTCTAATATGAGACACGCAGCCGCTTTTACTGTGAGGCACTTTATATTAAGAACTGTCAATTTTTGTATTTTTTCAAGTTCTTTAGTGATATGTTAAAACTGACAATAATTCTGTTGTTGCTAAGATTCTTATAGGGAAAAGAAACTTTGTGTATTTCATATTAAAAATCTTTTTTCTGAATTAGCTAAGTCGCCACTTTTGATTAAAAAATTCACATAAAACAAAATATAGCTAGTATCAATTGTTAAGTTTTAGCGATAAAACTTGAGTATATTTCTTATAAGTTTGACATAAAACTAAGAGTTAAGATTACATATTTAAGAACCTACAAGTCTTTAAAAAAAAATATCTTATAATAGGTACCTTTACACCAAATAACGCTGCGTCTTTTTTCTAATGTCTCAGAAATTTGTGTTATAGAACATTGTTTATCCGATAAATTTGTACTTATGTTCATTTCAGTTTTATTTAATTTGTTTTCTCGTGGCATTTTAAATGAACAAAAAGTATTACGCACACAATATAATTGTTGGTACTGCACGATGTTTAATATAAGTAATAATTTTACAATAATTTCTCTTGTCGTTTTATTCACATTGTCAGTTTAACAGAGTCTGTCTTATAATTTTCCCGCGGATAATAAAACGTATTTTCATTTAAAAAATTGAATTTCTTAGAAAAATTGTCTTTGAATTTTCTAGAAATAAGTCTTAGAAATATTGAAAACCGTTCGTTAAAGGAACCAATACTATACTATAGAATTTTCGAGGAGGACCCAACATAAAGCAGATACGGTAGAGTGTGTTAATGGGACAAAGACTCAATCGGACACGATAAAAAAAAGACACAGTCGAAATCGGACAACTAACAAGCAATGTGCATCGTGACAATTAATGATAGTAATAACACAAATTAGGTTAGGTCAAATTTTTTAAGAGAAGAGGACCAGAAAAAGAAGCAGAGTCTCTCCTTTGTCCACATGTGTACGATAATGTATGATGCAAACAAAATATTTATTCGTGAAATATATATGATATAAAAAATGTACTGTGTCCTCATTTGTATTGTGTCGAATTGTATTGTGGTCAATAAAGTATCACCCGATTGAGACTGTGTCCGACTGCGACTGTGTTCGATTAAAACTGTGTCTGATTGAGTCTGTGTTCGATTGAAATGGTCCTGTGTCCGTTTTAACTCGTGTCCGATTGACACATTCGATAATTCATTCATTTTACATCAAATAGGTGGCAGCATCAGTTATCTATAAATTCTAACAGCCATCTTATGAATTTTAAAGTCATTACAAAAAAAAACATTTTACTCAGAAATTGAATCTGAAGCGTTCTATATATTTTTTGTAGAATTCTTTATCGTTACAATATATTACTAATATATAATAAATAATATTACTAATATAAATATTTTTCAAGATGTGTTCAGGCGAGAAACTAAATCATAGAATTATAAGAACTATATTAATCAATAGTCTGTAAATAAATAAATAAACTTTTTACACGTTTGTATCAATATACAATTGAAACATTATTCGGAAAGTCCTATTAATTTGGTAATAGACGTGGCAATGAGTGTTCCTAACGCGATAATTAAGTTTAACAGATATGAAACCTGATGATTCATTAAAGGAAGTTTGATTTCCTTTCGCTTAGTTTGCTGTCTTAAACTTATTACAATGTAGTCCACTTGTCACGGTAACACTGCAAAGTTCGCACCTACATGTAACTTGTTGTAGGTAGTTTTTGCAGTTTTGTGTTCAATTCGTGATACATAAAAGATTAAAAACGTTATTTTTTTTTTATCTATTAATTTTATTTTTTAGTTTTGAACGAAGAAACAGGAAACGTTTTTGTATAACTAAATATTTTGTGAAATATATAATCCACGTTGCAATCCGTGAAACCATTATAAAAGCCATTTTCTTTACTACGGACACGATTAAAAGTGCAAGATCCACATAGAAAATCATGATTTATTCGAGTTTTTGTACTAGTATATTTGCTGTGCTTGTGTTTCTATTACTGTGTTAACTTGTAGTGAAAAATATATATGTATTAAAATACTTGATTAATTTTTTATTTATTTTGATTTGATTAATTTTTTCTAAAGACCATCTTTATTGCTTATGAAGATTGTATGTGAAAGTGGAACATATTTAATGACAATGCAGATTGTGGTAAGATTTTTCCTTGTTGCTGCCCAAATATTTTACAGTTGTGGAAAAGTTATTCTTTTACGTGGAGAATCACATCATACCAATTCATCTGTAAGTGAGAGAAAATATATATGTCTCTCAGAAGACGACGGCGGCGCACTTGTATGGAATGACAATTTAGTTCTTCGATATCAGCAAGAAAAATATCGTACTGATTTGCGTAAGTTATTATATTCTTACAACATATCATAAACATCGCCACTTTTTAGTTTTTCATCTACACTGTTTACAATAAACTTTCTAAACAAAGTTGTTTCACTTTTATGTTCTTGAATGCACGTTTAAAACCGTCTATATAAATAGATTCTACTTTACTTTAAGAATCATTTAATATCTTTAGTTGTAGTTCACTAGCCAATTATTTTATATGTTATCATACTTCTCGAGAATACACGCTTACCGGAAACGCGCATATTATTGTAGAGTTTCACAGTAGTCATCTATACAATACCTCGATAAATTGCAAAATGAACGCAACAAAATGTTTAGAATCCTGGGATCGAAGAAACTGGGATCTTACAAATTCTATAAAAACACCCATGGGTCCGGTATTTGATCAAAGATGGGAAGGTAGAACATTTACAGTGTGTAAAAGCTTACATCCTTTATTAATTCAAAGTATTGAATATACTGCGTCATTATATGTTTGCAAACTGTAGAATGATGTAATTACTGTTTTAAATAATATACATTAAATTTTTTCAGAATTCCAAGAATTCAATTATTTGTCTGAGCAACAACCAGAATTTTACGGACATTTAGGAGCAATGTCTGTTTCAATTCGTTCAGGACAGAACGTGCAGATTTGGTTGTGTAATGTTTTAAGGTATTCTCCAACAAATTCATCTGGTACACAAAAAAGAAAGTGTTTTCGTATAACATTAAAATACGATAATGCGGATTCCACCATTCAAAGCTGTATTATATATGATAAGAAGAATCTGACTCACCATTGTTCTTACAACATAATTAGTAAAAGAGTAAGATATACGCACACTTATTTACTTATGTACTTCTCAAAAGTTTTTATACATAAATGAAAAAATTTCTCAATTACAATGTAACAAAACCTACTTGTATTTTAAATATAATTTGACTTTATATGTTTATTACATATAATAATATTTCTTAAAACATTAAAAACGAGATATCATAAAAAAAAGAAAGTTCAGAGAATGTAATACAAACAAGATAATTATATAAGCATTATATTTACCAAAAGCTTTTGTAATTGCTCTAGTTACTGTCATTATCTGAAACTGAATGGCGAACATTTCTCATTTCATGGAATACTTCGAAGAAAAATGTTACTGTTTATGATACAAATGATAAGAACAAAGTGCTTACATTTAAAGATACAGAAATATTTAACTCAACTTTATATAGATTCTATTACTTCTTCATCACAGCACAGAATTTACAAAAAGTGGTGTATCGATTTCATGACTGTAAGTATTTGTATTTTAACCAATAAATTACTTTTTTTACTTAAATTACTTTTTTCATACTTTACTTTATTTTTAACAAAGCAAAACGTTGTCGGACAAATTGTAATATGACGAGTCCGAATAGTTTATTTCGAAGTAGTTTTGTTCGCCAAACATGAATCTGTTGTAAGAGTTACATAATAGAGAATAAGTTATTCACGTTAAAATCTTGACATACGAAAACGGATTTAAATATGCAAAAAATAATTGATAACCGTTAAATTATGTGTGCGTCACAATATAATATACAAAGTAAGTAATGGTACAAGTAATTTTTTTTAATTTGTGAAACTCAAGTATAAATTTACAACTTCAACCTTTGTTGGTTTTTGTTTCAATATAATTTTTCACTTCAGAAATATATTAAAAATTGTTTAAGTAATAAATAAAAAACACCATTTAATCATATTATTATTACTTTATAAACTTATATTATGTAAATATAAAAAATACTTCAAAAAGTGTTATATGTTTTATACTTACATAATAAAAGTTTCTTCAAAAATAATAAAATGAAAACACAATAACTTTATCTATTGCATACATTTACATTAAGCTAAACAAAATAAGGAACATTTTCCATTTGCTCCAAACTGGACATTTTTTAATTCGCTATACCTTAACCGTAAATTATCGTAGAAAAAACACACTAAAAAAAGGAGTAAAGCTAGAAATGTATACCGTAACAAAGTGAGGTTGTTTTTTGAGAATATTTTAGTTAATTTTAGTTCTCAGAAAAAAGTAGATCTTGATTATTAAAATTATGTATTTTCATTGTTTGCTACTAGATAACAAAGTATTTATTAAAACCTAAAAAACAATATCACAAATTACAACAGCTTTTTTACAAGATGCATCTATACGATGCATTTTGTTAAAAATTTCAATTTTTTCTTCCCGGACTTACGTACAAATAGATAATATAAAAAACAAAAAATGTTTTTTTCTGGATGTTGAAAGATAAGAAGTTTGTAAAACTTTTTCTAAAATATTTAAAAATATACACTCTAATCGTTAAAATGCTTTCTTTGTTTTTTTTTCTACAATAATTTCTTGCTTACATTACTTATGTACGTTTATATACCCAGCAAACATTTCGGTCACAGAACCATATCCATCTGTGTCCTCAGTAGGATATGGTTTGGTAATCATGTCTGTCAACATGTGAAATGTCAAAATGCGACCAAAATGATGACAGAGTCTGCCACAAGCAAAGCGAAGTCAAATTATCGCCAAAGTGAAGCCAAAATCCGGAATAGGTTTGGTCATCGTCTGTTGGCGCCAAATTGCAAACAGTGCGCACGTATACACGAACAGACCTGCTTGGCGTTTGGTGGCAATCTGTCGTCAATGCGTTTAACAGATCAACCCGATTTTTGTCGTAAACAGATCTCTGGTACGGTTTTGCGGACTGTTTGGTCACATTATTGCTAAAAACAGATCTGCTTGCAATCGACCATCTATTTGTTGTCAATTTCACTGACATATATGGAATCGTTTTGACCGCAATACTCTCATGTATATTGCCAACAAAGTTGTTGCGTTTTTTCTTTTTGTGTGCTAACAGTTTTGGCAGTGTTTCCGTATTGTAGCATTTCTGCAAACAATTTCTGTTGCCAAGGTCTGAGCCGAAATTGTCAAAAACAGAAATTGTTTGCTGGGTATATATATACATGTATATAGATGTATATGGTAATTTCTTTTTATGCATGCGGCTTCCAAACTAATAGTATTTCTAAACGGCAGAAATGATATAGAATTGACTGTAATAAAAAATAAATTCTCTAAATGACACTCACATATAAATATTGCGTTTCAGATTATTTTCTGCACACAGTTGACAAGAATGCAAATTTAATGAGTCCTATTTATTATTTTGATACTCTAAAGACATGCATACAATTAGTACTAGGCTTGTGCGCAGAATGTGATGCAGACGTCGAGATAATTCATTCAACGACAAATACAATATTAAAATCTGTAACAGCTAAAGGCTCACTAAATGCTGCGATTCATGGCTTACCTATGTGGCAACTCATTAAATTTAATGAAACTTTTTCAACGGTCAACTTTAGTGGTGGTGTGAAAATAAATGTAATTCCCAAACTCTCAAAGCCTAATCCCAGTCCGTTATGGGCAATAGCCGATGTTCGTGAATGCTCCAATACAGGTACAACCATATATGTGCATACAGTTTTGATTTTGTATATTTATATGTAACACTAAAATATGTACTAAATGAAAGAATTAAACTTTCCAGAAAAGTGACACAAATATTTTTTTTATACTAATCTTTTTTATGGTTTATGTTTTTCTCTTATATTAGAGGTTTTGAGAAAAGGAGTTATTTCGCAAATAAACAATGAATCTAATTCGTGGTTGAATCTAACATGTCAAAAGTTATTTTTCAATAAAAATACTGTCGTAAGTTCTTTATCAAAACCAACAATCAGCATAGATCTAGGTACTTATCAACCTTTTTATTATTACATCTCAAATAACATTTCTTGCGCGCAAGGTTTGCGGGAGTTAAATATGTAAATCTTGTATGTGATTTGCCTGAATTTTGTTTGTAAACATATTTTATTGCGCACACGCGTGCATATTGCGCACAAGAAACTATCTAATATCTATCCAATACACCAATAAATAACGCGCAAATTGCTAAAATATTGCAAGTTATTTACTCTTAATTCGACAGTGTATTACTTAGGACGAATGAGTCGTCCTTGTGTGTGATAAGTGAATATTCACGTACAAAATGCTGTCTAGATTTATTAGTTATATGCTGTTTATATGACGACGCACTGGGATACGATTTTGCACGCAAAATGTTATCTGGGATGTGACATTTTATATTTTTAAAAGTTTTTTTGAATAGCAATACAAAATAATATTATATTTGTAATCGATAACATTTTACAAAATATTTTTAAAAAAAAATATACCCACACAGACATCCATCCATCTAGACATCCATTAGATATTTATTAGATGTCGCATGGAGCTGTTGACGTCTAATAGACGTCTAATGAAGTTTTTGTTCTGTGTGGGTAATATGTATACAATACTTGTGTTACTATAATCATATCTCACAGATGACAAAATTTGTCCTGAGGGAAAAATTGGACCAGAATGTTCCTTTTCCTGCAAACATGATTTAGACAGTTCTTCTAACTGCAATGGAACTGCAATCTGTTACAACACCGGTTGCTTATGTTATCCAGGATTTCAAGGCGATACATGTTCTGATGGTAAGTAAATTGGAACAGTTCACTTACAGTTATATTATATTTTAATATATCACACTAGTAATACATATTACTAATATATACACAGGAGTGCATCATATCGTGCGGCTCCAAAACAAATATTTCTCCGAAATTTCTCTTTTGATTGCTCCTACTACTGCGCGCCTATTCTTCTTCAGTCTCTGCCAACGGCTCCATATCGAAGAGAAAGGAAAACGGCACGCGGTAGTAGAAGCAGCCGGACAAGAAATTTCCGAGAAATACTTCCCCTGGAACCGCACAATATAATGCACTTTTCTGTACATGTAATTGCAGTATGTGACGACAATTGGTATGGTT